AAAAAAAAAAAAAAAAAAAAAAAAAAAAAGGCAGAGGAGATAAATAGACATTTTCCCCAAGAAGACATACAAATGGCCAACAGGTACAGGAGGTGTTCAAAATCACTAATTACCAGGGAAATACAAATCAAAACCACAGTGAAATAATATCACCACACCTGTAAGAAAGGCTATTATAAAAACATTTACAACTATTTACACATCACTTATATTATACTAGGTACTTTAAGTAATCTAGAGATAATTTAAAGTATAAGGGAGGATGTATATGGGTTATATGCAAATACTATGCCTCTTATGTAAGGGAATTGAGTATCTGCATATTTTGGTATCCATGGGGGGCCCTGGAACCAACGCCCCTAGGATACTGAAGGATGACTATCCCCATGTTCATCTCAGCATTATTTACAAAAGTCACATATGGAAACAACCTAAGTATCCACAGATGGAATATTCAGCCATAAAAAAAGAAGGGAGTCTTGCTATTTGCAACAACATGGATGGACCTTGAGGGAATTATGCTATGTGAAATAAGTCAGACAGAGAAAGACAAAAACCATATGATCTCAATTCTATGTATAATCTAAAAAAAAGAAAAACAAGCACATAGATACAGAGAACAGATTGGTGGTTGCCAGAGGCTGGAGAGTGGAGGTAGGAGAAATGCATGAAAGGGGCCATAAGGTACAAACTTTCAGTTACAAAGTAAGTCATGTAATGTACAGTATGAGGACTGTAGTTAATAATACTGTATTGCAGATTTGAAAGCTGCTAACAGATCTTGAAAGTTCTTTTAAAAATAATTATAACTGGTGATGATGGATGTTAACTAGACTTATTGTGGTGATCACTTCACAGTACACACAAATATCAAATAATGTACAACTGAAACTAAAAATGTTATGTCAATTATACCTCAATAAAAATAATTAAAAGTTAAGTCTATTACTTTTAATAAAAAAATATCCACAGCAGCAGTTTACATAAGAGCCCTAAACTGGAAAAACAAACATTCATCAGTAGTAGATTAATTTCTCCTGGTACATTAAAACAATCAGTACTATAAAGCAATGAAAAGGAACTAATTCCAGCTACAGAGGGAAGATTTCACAAGGGTTCCAAGAATGCTGGCTAATTTTTATTTCTTGGTCTGAATGTATATATGACACTTTTCACTACACTAAACAATCCGCATGGAAGAAAAGACATGCTGAAGCATATAAATATGAAGAGTCATGAGCTAGAAAACCAAGACTGTAATAAAAACCAAGAAGAGTTATAAGGAAAAAACTGAAGACCATCTGATAACTTTCAAAAATCATCTACATTCACTTGACCACAGGATAAGTATAATAAGAACTTTTGCATCGCTGCCAGACCAACAAGGGCTAATAAACCTGTGGCACATCATTTTGGCTCAAGTTACAATGATTTAGAAATGACTCTACCATCAAATATGAAAATATTCTGTATTTTTTCTCACAATGCTGTTTTCCATACTCTATACAAACAAAAAAACCTCCAAAAATTAGAGATAAAACACAATTCTGATAGTATAGGACTAAAAGGGATGTCAAATATGACTGTCCTCAAAGAATTACTTTTGTCAATGACAGATGTAGTTTTGATGTGGAATCAATTTGGTGTTCGGAGCACAAATCCTATGGCCACGAGTAGAGGTGTATTTAGTGTATTTGACACCCAGAGCAGACCTCAACACTTCAAACTGTTAAGCGTCTAAAATCTTCACCTACAAATTTACTTCTGAGTACAAGAATCCTCTTTAACCTATTCACATTCCCTGTCTACTGAATCCATGTAACTGTCCTCTTCAGTTATGACCTCCATTTCCTTAACCGCTCCTTTTTCCAAATACCTCCACAATCTACATTACGCTTGTCACCATCTTTAAAATACATGCCCCAGTGACTTCCCACCATCTCCCACTCATAACTCGTAGCCTCAGGAAAAGTCACAGAAAGTAAGAAAAAAAATGAGATAAAGGTCTGAGCACTACAAATGACCTAGTCATATTGCACAAATTTTCAGGTAACCCAACAGTATTATTTTATGACATCTTATAGGAATCTTTAGCCATATGGCATGGGAGCAGAGAATGCCAGTGGTAGGTCATCTGCCTGAGATCAATGATATTGAGGTCAACAATCATGGAGTCAAGATTTTCCCAGTAGTAAATATTTATTCCCACTTTTAGATCACTTCTGAAATTATAGCTTTAAAAATAGGAACACTAGGAAATTTCCCAGGAACTAAATTAAGTACTAAGGACACAAGACCCAAGACCACTCTTCACCCTTATAGGCAAGCTATAGAACCCCTCAAGTCTTACCTTTGCTTCCTCTTTCCACTGCCACCCCAGGTATCACAAAAGCTTCCTAACTCTTTTTAAGTTTAATTTTATTTATTTATTTTTTTTGCGGTGCGCGGGCCTCTCACTGTTGTGGCCTCTCCTGTTGCAGAGCACAGGCTCTGGACGCGCAGGCTCAGCGGCCATGGCTCACGGACCCAGCTGCTCCGCGGCATGTGGGATCTTCCCGGACCGGGGCACGAACCCGTGTCCCCTGCATCGGCAAGCGGACTCCCAACCACTGTGCCACCAGGGAAGCCCAGCTTCCTAACTCTTATTTCCTGTCTCCTCTCATTCTCATCTACTCCACATTATAAAGCTAACGTGATTTTTCTAAAGTATAGCTCTACTCATACAATTACCTTGATTAGAAACATCATCCATTATGTCTTGAAATAAACTATGACTGCCTAGCATTCAACACCATTCAAATTCCTCTTCCATTCCTCTCTCCCCTGACTCCCCTCTCTATGCACAGATCCTCCCACTTAGGTCACATCACAGATCACTTAGATGTGATCTTCCATAATTTGAGTCCCTACTCTCTTTTAAACCTGGAGTACTTTATTTGTATGTCTCTTGTGGCATGTATTTCACTCTGCTTTCTTTTTTCTTTCCTTTTTAAAAAAATGTGCCCTATTGCTTTTACTCTCCCCGTTAGATGTTACGATTTTTTAGACCAGAAATTGTATCTCTGTATTTCTGTTAGCACAAAATACATGAGTACAAGTTAGGGACTCAAATAAAATAAAATAAAACAAAAACAATTCTAATTGGAGACTTCCCTGTTGGCGCAGTGTTAAGAATCCGCCTGCCAGTGCAGGGGACATGGGTTCGAGCCCTGGTCCGGGAAGATCCCACATGCTGTGGAGCAACTAAGCCTGAGTACCATAACTAAGCCTGCGCTCTAGAGCCCGTGAGCCACAAATACTGAGCCCACGTGTCACAACTACCAAAGCCCGCATGCCTAGAGCCTGTGCTCTGCAACAAGAGAAGCCACCGCAATGAGAAGCCCGCATACCACAACAAAGAGCATCCCCCGCTCACTGCAACTAGAGAAAGCCTGCGTGTAGCAACAAAGACCCAACACAGGCAAAAATAAATAAATTTATAAAAAACAAAAAAACAATGCTAACTGAATGGTGCTCAGTATTCAAATTTTTCTCCCACTATTTTCTTGCTTCCTGAAGAGCCATGCCACACAATTCCTAGAGCAACATCCTAAGTAGCTAGCTAAAATAATATAGCATCTGAACTGTACTCAGATTATACAAAAAATTTGGTAATATCTGGTAAATCCTAAAATGTGGCTTATTTTCCTGAGATGTCATGCATGCCCTAGTATGCTTGTCTCTTCATTAAAAATGCTTTTTATTGTTTGTAATCTACATGATTTCCAGATCAATTCTGGCTGAACTTGTTCTTGACAATTTATTTGCATTTTGGTATTGGTCTTATTAGTGGTAATTTAGCTCTTCAGCATCCAGGATATGGTCACTCTATTCATGGAGTAAGTATAAGTAAAATCATCACTACATTGTCAGTACAATGTAAGTAGGGACACAATGTGACTCATCATCACATAGGCATAAGTCATGGGCTAAATAACCTTTCACAAAAGAAAGGAACAGCACAGCCGTAAAACTGAGTAGAAAAAAAATCTTAGAAAATATATATAATTGGATTTAACAGCAGGTTAGATTCAACTGAAGAGATGATTACTAAACCTGATGATAGGTCAGTGAGAAATATCCAGACTGAAACAGAAAAAGAACAAAGGATGGAAAACACATCAAAATGCCTAAGAGA